CCCCCCCCCCAATCTCACAAGTTATTGATGATCTCAAGGGCCTCCTCATATTCTAAAGAGGGAGAGTTAAACTTAACTTGTTGATGACTGGTACTATAGAGAAAAACAATGCAGTTAAGTTGAATAAAGGCGAAGCAGGGGTGCTGTATTTTTATACAGGACGATCAGGGAACAGATTAGGTGGCATCTGAGCAACAAAGGAAACACGCATGTCATGGCTATATCTAGAAGAGTTTCAGGTGGATATGAATGCCTTTGGGGGGGAAAAACACATACCCTAAAAAAAAAAAAAAAATCATGTGGCAAATGTCTTCATAATAGTCAGTTTTATGTAATCTGAACCCTTTTGGACTATTAAGACTCTATAGCACATGATCACCAGCAAGCTATTGAAAACTGTAGCAAGCTTAAAGAAATTATCAATAAAATATTTCCAAATTGTGCAGGTCAGATTAGCTATTGGGATTTAAGATTAGCAACAAAAGTAGATATCTACATAAATACTGTTCAATTTGGGAAAGCCATTAAGGTGATATAGCATTCACTATATTGTAACTTTGTACATTTTCAGAAGAGAAAATAGTCTGTATGTGGGAACATATATGAAGGAGTCAAAGAGCAAAACGTGTCAATATACAACTCCTCCTTCCAATACAGAAAAGTCCTCTTAATGTACAGTATCCCATATCATGTCATCTGATGCACATCAACTATCCTGATTACATGATGAAACTACTCCTTTGATTATAAAGTAAAAAAGTCATGATGGTCCATCACAACTCCCGGTAAGATCCTGACCACACAATGGGTAAAAAATAAACCAGAAAGTTGTTTACACCTCCCTTTGTCATCTTTTAAATAAATGAATCATAAAAAGAGCATTTTCAAAATAAAACACTTCAAGGTCAGCAACTATAACAAAATTCTTAACTTGTGGAAAAAAATTATTTTGTAAAATAAATCCAGTATCTCAAATACTTCAACATGATTATAATAATCAAATGTGTCACTCATTTTCTGCCATTTACTGTTTATTAATTTTACTAACAACTTAATAAGGGGTATGCTGTGAGAAAAACCAAGTAGTTGCAAAACATCTATTTCTCTATGTTCATATTATTAAAGTCATTTGTCCGTCATTACCAAAGCAAATTGAGTTTCCATTCAAAATAACTACTATAAATAATAACTACTATAAATAACTACTATAAATAATAACTACTATAAATAACTACTATGTTCCCAGAAATGTACACTTCATGCAAATAATCCTAAAATCTCTCTCCAAATGTATATTCCCCTAAATAGTAAAGACAACACAAAAACAATTTGAAAATTACCAAGAATCATTTCAAAGTATTTTAAATAGAAAGTGATGAAACACAGAATACTTAATAAATACCACGGTATGGTCAACTTCTATTATTTTGGCGTACAAATGTATGTAGAGTTACAATTTATTACATCCACCAAAACAATAGATTTCTATTTCCTGTTTAGTACTTAAGTGAAATTATAAAACTAAGTGGGATGGGAGAACATACTGACAGTAACATTTGAATTTTCACCCTTCCGAATTATTATCATGATTATTCTATTCCTGATGTCTGTTCTGATATTTATCACATCTTACCTAACTTCATAGATTATTTTTTTCTTTACAATCCACTCATTTAATACTTTTGCAATTAAAATAATAAATGTGAGAACAGGATAAAAACAAAATGCTATGCACTCTCTAGTAAAAATTTAGAACTGTAACATATCATAAATGTATACATGATTCAAACAAAAAAACCTCTAGCGTTCGGCTATAACCCATTTTTTGTCATTAAAACTAAGTAGTCAGGTTCACTGAATTTATTGTCTGTCAGAGTATTAAATCTGTATTCACTAGGCCAGAATCCCGGAACAGTAATACTTAGCAATAAGTGAACCACCGCCTACAAAGTTTAATAATACATTTATATAGGAATGGACAATTTTGTTACTTTCCAAAGAACTCAAAGAAACACCTGATTTTTAAAAAAGATAAACCCAAACACATAAAAAGCAGTAATCTTGCTTTAACTGCCCAAAGAACGACCACGTTGGCACAATTTAAGGGGGAGGGGGGAAGTCTGAGATTAAGAGCCAGTGTCTCCTAATCCCCCAAACCTTGGTCCGGCCTCTTCGCATTATTAGTAAGCCTAATATGCAAACTCTTTTATAAGTAAATGCAACAGCCAGCTTCAACTAAAGCAACCTGGTATAGGGAAGCATCGACAAGGAAATGGTGTGGGTAGGCCCAGGCTAGGGAGGAGTTAGCAAAAACGGTGATGGTGGACGATACTCACTCCGGCGGGAAGAGGCGCAGTTCGTCGATCTTGCCTAGGAAACCGAAGAGGGTCCGCATCTGCTCAGAGCTAGCGCTCGGGGAGACATTAGTCACCTGGATTACCTCGGTGCCGCCGCCTCCGCCGCCTCCGCCG